TTGTCTTTTTTCCACATGTGGGTGGTTAGAGGGTGTCAGTGGTTGGTCCTACTTCTTCTCTTTCCTTCTGCTGTTTCTGTTCGTGGGTCATACTTGTTCCCTAGTGTTGGTTGGTGAGTGGTTGGCGGGTGCTCTGGTGTGGTTTGCTTCTTCTTTCCTATAAAAACATCTATCGTCCTTATCTCTCCTCCTTTTTTAAAATGTTTGTTACTCTCTTGTAACGCCTTTAATCTTTGGCAATTATTATTATGACCTTATTGTGTTGTAAGTGCCGGAAAAGTCTTACTAAAACTATGAATAAAGATGGGGAAAATTCCGGATCTGAAATCCTTTCATGGTAACAGTCAGGAACTTCGTGTTAAACGGGTTTGGGTAACCAAACTCTGCAGTATATTATATACATATACATACACATATACATATTATTTATCTTGTCTCAAATCAAGATATGTAGCAGTGAGCATGAACAGACTTAAAACACCTGATGAAGATTATTAAGTCTTTTATTAAACAAAAATAGTCAAGAAAACACACACGATACCACAATTTCACAAACACAGTAAATCTCTATCACAATATGTATGAGCAATATCACAACACAGACACAATAAACAGGTCATCGGTACATTTGTTCAGTTGGGGCAAAGGGTTGGTTAATTAAGTTAGTGAAGAATTCAGAAGTCTTGACTTAGTGATAGTGGAGAATTCTTTCTACTTTCCCTTTGTTCGTTTCAATCTGTCTTTACTTGAAATCATTCTACAACTATATCCCCAGTTACGCTGAACGACAATCTGTCTTTACTTGAAATCATTCTACAACTATATCCCCAGTTACGCTGAACGACAATCTGTCTTTACTTGAAATCATTCTACAACTATATCCCCAGTTACGCTGAACGGCACAGTTGATTTTGATTCTTCTTTTGGTCAGATGATCATCTGAATGGGACACTGACGTTCATAGTTCGCCCCTCAATTCTCTGCTTAGATACCTCCCTCAAAAAGCCTGGCTTATCCTCGTCTTTTCTTGATACCTATGTGCTCAAGTTCTCTCTAAGTTCATTTTTCTTGGTCCTCCTCTCCCTGTTTTGCCTTGTGTTTGACCAGTGAGAGCAGCATGCTCCAGACCTCATGTCCAGCCATCACGTGACGTTGTCACTGAAGCTCAGACACCAGGTACTGTCCCAAACAGTTTAAATTTTTTGTCAACAAAACCTTAAAAACAAAACTGTTCAATATACTTTCTAGAGCTACAGTAGGCTTTGAAGAATGTCGACAGTAGGCTTTGAAGAATGTCGACAGTAGGCTTTGAAGAATGCCGACAGTAGGCTTTGAAGAATGTCGACAGTAGGCTTTGAAGAATGTCGACAGTAGGCTTTGAAAAATGTCGACAGTAGGCTTTGAAGAATGTCGACAGTAGGCTTTGAAGAATGCCGACAGTAGGCTTTGAAGAATGTCGACAGTAGGCTTTGACATTTTGAAGAATGTCGACAGTAGGCTTTGAAGAATGTCGACTGTAGGCTTTGAAGAATGTCGACAGTAGGCTTTGAAAAATGTCGACAGTAGGCTTTGACATTTTGAAGAATGTCGACAGTAGGCTTTGAAGAATGTCGACTGTAGGCTTTGAAGAATGTCGACAGTAGGCTTTGAAGAATGTCGACAGTAGGCTTTGAAGAATGTCGACAGTGTACACAGAGAAAAAGGAAACAAAACCATATATCACTGACGCATATATTAATAAATTATCAACAACAAAGGAAAAAAATAAAAGTGTACAATATTGAAGCATTAATAAATAAATTGACAGAAAAAAGTAAAAATGTCAACAAAAATGTACAATAATGATTTACAAATTATTCATAGAATAAAGTAAAAAAGTCAACAAAACTAGACAAGATTGACACTTCAATGTGTACCCCAATATTGTACAACTTGTGACACCTGTACCAAACATGTACCCCAATATTGTACAACTTGTGACACCTGTACCAAACATGTACCCCAATATTGTACAACTTGTGACATCTGTACCAAACATGTACCCCAATATTGTACAACTTGTGACACCTGTACCAAACATGTACCCCAATATTGTACAACTTGTGACACCTGTACCAAACATGTACCCCAATATTGTACAACTTGTGACACCTGTACCAAACATGTACCACAATATTGTACAACTTGTCACACCTGTACCAAACATGTACAAGCAGGTGTGTGCACATGGAGGGAATAAAACGTCGCTTTAAAGCATCAGGGGGCTATCCCGAAAAATGCTGTTTTGAGAAAAGCGAAGGTAAAGTTTTTGCCCCTTGTTCAGTTTCTTTAAAAGACAAGGAGAATTTTCTCTTTTACCTAACAAATATACACACCAATGAAACCAAACTTCTCCTATAGGTAGGGCCAAGCCCACTTTTAGTGTAGGTCAAGATTTCTGAAAACCTCCGAAATCTGGGTTAGCCCGCTTGTCCTTAAAAGCGACTAAATCACAGCCTAGACAAAACAAAGAGAGCGAAATATTTCAACTCTCTGGTCAAAGTTACGAACCCAGAGCAGTGACTATCGTTTTTGTCATGGGTCTGTGGGTGGGGGTTAGGGGTTGGGGGGTTGAAGATTGGGGGGTAGGAGGTTGGGGGTTGGGGGTTACTGCAGTTACAACAGCGCTAGCAGTTACAACAGCACTAGCAGTTACAACAGCACTAGCAGTTACAACAGCACTAGCAGTTACAACAGCACTAGCCACAGCAAAGAGTTTTGAGTGGAGGGAAACACAAGAATACCGTGATAGTCGTTTAGTTTCCTACAGTTTAGTGCCTCGGAAAAGGTCAGACAGACAGACAGAAATAAAAAGGGAGAAAGAGAAAAACTTGGGCCTACTAGTAGTACTAGTGCCGCCTCCCAATCATTCACTTGGCCGTATGATACAACCACCAGCAACAACCACCTGTCCCGACCAGCACACAATATGATACAACCACCATCAACAACCACCTGTCCCGACCAGCACACAATAAGATACAACGACCATCAACAACCACCTGTCCCGACCAGCACACAATATGATACAACCACCATCAACAACCACCTGTCCCGACCAGCACACAATATGATACAACCACCAGCAACAACCACCTGTCCCGACCAGCACACAACAGGATACAATGACCATCAACAACCACCTGTCCCGACCAGCGGGTGAGGAAGTAAACAACAAAAGAAGCGTCAATGAGTGAGGTGTCTGTACCTCGCCAAACGGCACCTCCCTACTGTCTCATTCCCTCTCATTTGCTCAGCACTTTTCAACGACCCCCGAGCAAGCGTTGACTTCCTTCGTGCTGTCGGCATCGCTGACCGTTAAAGACGTCACAGCGCCAGAAGAGAGAGAGAGAGGACAGAGAGAGAGAGGACAGAGAGAGAGAGTGTGAGTTGAGAGGAAATCCTCCACAGCCTCAAAGAGACGAGCCAGCTGACGTCGCAGGGGCCACAACTCTGATCTCCTCGGCAGGAGCCGTGTCGTTGTGAAGGTTGAGGTAGCGGGTGAGGTCTACTTCCACCTGCGCCAGCGCCTTCAGGTGATCCGTTCTGTGCTCGTCTTTCTGTCTTCTCATCTCTGAGGAGAAACGGCCGGGAGGAAACAATAGAACAAATGTGTCACGACGCGCTGGAACCAGGCGCACATCAAGTTTTGGGCATAAGAGTTATTGGTATCATCTCAAAGTTGGTTCATTTGTCTTGCATTTAGCGAAAAGAATACCCATCTATCTTGAATAAAAGTCGAGATTTTTTAGGCTGAAGGAGGTGGGGGTCGGCTGATATGAAAGATAAAACTAGCAAGAAAATGACCGCCAAAGTTTGTTGGCTTCCAAAGCTAGAGTGTCCTTGAAAACTGGAAATTATCATTTTTTGTGTGCCTTTTGAGCACAATTTTCGGAAACACCCATACAGAATTTTGTTTTTAAAAGGACATAAAAGGTGTTGAGGCAAAAAATGTTTGCCTGTAAGGGCCAACCCAGGCTGAGAGAGATAAGACATCCCAGTAGAAAGACTGAGTGAGATACTCCATACACATTTCTTCCCACTCCGGAATTGAACTCGGGTCCCTTCAGTGTGACAGTGAAGTGCCTAACCCCTGCACCACAGATGCCAAAAAAACCCCCAGGACTGACAGAAATGCTAAAATATACTGACAATAATAATAAGAAGAATAACACCAATGATGATGATAATATTATATGAATACAATTACTGTTATCTATGGTTATTTGGCTTATCCATATTTCAAGTCTGACTCAGGGCAAAATATATATATACAGGTACTGTCATTTGCCCTCTATGTTATAATAGAAATAATAGCTGCAATGATTAAAAAGGAGAAGGAGAAGGAGAAGAAGAAAAAGAAGAAGAAGAAGAAGAAGAAGAAGGAGAAGGAGAAGGAGAAGAAAAAGGAGAAGGAGAAGGAGAAGAAGAAGAAGGAGAAGGAGAAGGAGAAGGAGAAGAAAAAGGAGAAGGAGAAGAAGAAGAAGAAGAAAAAGAAGAAGAAGAAGAAGGAGAAGGAGAAGGAGAAGAAAAAGCAGAAGGAGAAGAAGAAGAAGATGAAGAAGAGGAAAAAGAAGAAGAAGAAGAAGAAGAACAACAACAACAACAACCACCACCACAACCACAACCACAACCACCACAACAACAACCACCACAAACACAAGTCCCACCCACCCAGATCGGCGGTGGTCTCGAGACTGGACAGTTGTAGTCGTTGCTGCAGCCTCATCTCCTCCATGGCCAGACGGTGGTCTTGTCGCAGCTTCTCCACGCGCTGCTGGTGGGCCTGGCGACGAACCTGCATGCCTTGCTCTGGACACACGCCACAGACAGGGACAAAGACAGGCTAGTTTTAGTAAGAGTTTTACGGCACTTGCAACACGATAAGGTCATATGAGTGCCAGAAGATTAGAGGTGTTACAAGAGAGTAACAAATATAAAACAGAAGGAGGAGAGATCAGAATGATAGAAGTTTGATAGGAAAGAAGAAGCAAACCACACCAGAGCACCCGCCAACCGCCCACTTACTTCCCCCTTTGTTAGGCCCGACCCTGGCTATATGTCATGTACACAATAGTATCAGTAATCATAATATAGGAGGTACACAATAGTAATCATATATGTCATGTACACAATAGTATCGGTAATCATAATATGTCATGTACACAATAGTATCGGTAATCATAATATGTCATGTACACAATAGTATCGGTAATCATAATATGTCATGTAC